AAATGTCCATTCTATGTACTTGAAACCAAAAACATATAAAAAACCTTCCTTTAAAGTGCAATATCCTAAAAACATGTATAAAATGATCATAAAATATGCACAAAAAACAGGTAATTTTAAGGTGGATCACTGGCCATCTACTTTGTCAGTTTAGCATTTTCTTCTTGATGGATAGAAATCCACTCGAGCGCTATCTCCAACTCTACCTCAAAACACTCTCACCTAGCCTTTGCCTCAAACGCTTGATTTGCTGATGTCGTCACCTACGTCTTGAATTCCTTCACTTTTGCCTCCACCTTCAGGGGTCTGTCCTTCATGCTTAGATAAAAAAAAAATTAAGTGATTCATAATGACATAACCGAGTAGCTGAAATAAGTTAATTAAATGACATATTTCCACGGGTTGGAGGTTACACAAATGCTTCTCAAGATCCATAGACTAAAGAATGTCTTCAATGTTCGTGGCATATTTAAACCTCTATGGGGTCAGAGGAAACTAGTCCCATTTGGACTCCAGTGATCTTTGCCCCCTTTTTTTTCTTAGGAGGAGAGAGAATAGAAGTGTTAGAATCTGTAGTCGGTGCCTTTCCTTTCCAACGATGTTCTGCCTCCTCGGTTAGCTTGGGCTTCTTTTCTCTTGAGCATTCTTCAAACTCACCACCTCGATTGGATTAGCTGGTCTTGCTAAGTATTGTGGTGAAGGCTGACTGGCTTCCTGTCTTTCAAATAGAGCAATGCGGCCTAAGTTTGACTGTCAGAAAGCTTTCTATGTCGATGGGCGTTTAGAGGACTTCTAAGCCCTCTATCCAAATATAGAAGGTGTCAACTCCTTTCGGTGGTAGTCCCCCGAATATCCTAAGTACATAAAAGAAGGTTTCCATTAGATCAATATTAATTCTCTAGTGACTTTTTCTGAACAAAAATTGAAGTTTCGGAGATAGAGTGCATTAATTTTGAATCTGAGGTTGTTACACCTATAGGGTCACCCACTTCCTCTTCCTCAACCTCTACTCTTTGAGAAGAAGCATCACTTCTCTTCTTCTTCCTCAGCTTTTTATTTAAAAGCTGTGCAACCTTATCAAATTGCCTCTTTTCCTCTACCTCATTGGAGGCATCCCACATCTCAGAAGTCATAGAACCTTACTTGGAAGGGTTCAACAACCAATTAATGATCACGTGGTTAGTATACTGAATTGCCAACATATGTTTCCCCTGGATGATCGACTTAAGTACCTTGAGTCAAGATGGAAGTCCTTTCCTCTTATTTTATGGGCCTCTGGTTGGCCTAGTGGTGATTCCTCAATTTTCACTGAACCACTAAAGAAATCAAAGGTTCAACAATTTTTTATTGTTCACCAAGTCTATTAGATGGAACTTGTGGGTTGTGCCAAAAACAACATACCCACCCGGTTCTACCCTGAATGATAACAAGTTGAAGAACAACTCCCAAGACTATGGGATCTCCATCCGACATAAGTAAACCACATAAATTCATCACTCCTGTAATTGAGTTTGGCTTAAATTGGGCAAGGATAACTCCATAGTGGTTCAATATTAACTAGATCTTTAAATAGAAAGATAGTCAGAGTCATCATTAGAACATTTCTGATAGAAAATCAGGTCATTGCCCAAGTAATTAGCTACCTTAACCTTGGCTCAACCCACTCAACAATGATACGTGTGTCATACACACAAGTGAAATATAATAACTCCACATTGAATGATGTCAAGGTTGATCGCTCGGTCGCCCTCACCGAATAGAACTATTAGGGAGAATATTTAGAGTTGATAGAGCTCGGCAAGAGACCTACTAAAAGAAAGGTGAAGTGAAAAATGAAAAGTGCAACTCCATTTTTCTGTTTAATCCTGGGTATATAGGGTATCTAGAAAATTTGAAACATCTTTAATCTTTATCTCCAACTTCAAAAATCAACATTAAACTAAGAAGAAAAATCAAGAATACATGATGATGAAAATTTTTAAA